GGTTCTCGTGCCGCCCGCCTCTGTGTCCAACGACGGTAGTGCAGAAGGAGAGGCGCACAAGTGCCGGCGGTATTTCTGATGGAAGGGTTGTGTGGGTCGTTATTCTGGGCGTGGTGTTCGTGGTGGAGCAGGCTGGCTCCTCTGGCAAGTTCGTAGATGGAATTTGCCAGTTTTGACTGTGAGTTCGGGTAAAGCCCGTTTTGGGGAGAGGGTATTTTCCCTTTAATGCTGACCAGAGCAATTTCAGGAGAGGCGCACAAGTGCCGGCGGTATTTCTGATGGAAGGGTTGTGTGGGTCGTTATTCTGGGCGTGGTGTTCGTGGTGGAGCAGGCTGGCTCCTCTGGCAAGTTCGTAGATGGAATTTGCCAGTTTTGACTGTGAGTTCGGGTAAAGCCCGTTTTGGGGAGAGGGTATTTTCCCTTTAATGCTGACCAGAGCAATTTCTTAGCGTCGGGTTCTGTGAGCGGTTACCTGTCACTAACACACGCGGTTGAAGGTTTCCATTGGGCTGTGGTGGTGGCTTCCCTAGTCCCCTCAAAACGTAGGGCTCTGGCGATACTTTTGGATTGCCGTTTCAGTTTGATTATGTGGTGGTGTGTGCGTTGCTCTGCGGTATTTGCAGCCGTTGAAAGAAACGTTCTGAAGTGGTTTAGGGGTGTGTTTTGGGGTTGGGGTTTTTTTTGGGTGGTGGGGTGTCCATGTTTTTTCTGACCTTAAGTTTTGCTATTCCTTGATGAAAGGATGGCCTTTTGTCCCTCCAGACTTTTATTCCTATTTGCAAGTCTTTTTTTTGATCCCTCCTTGGATGCTCTAGAGTTTGTGTTCCTTGAGTTTTGGGTTGTGTTTTGGAGCGGGGGGGCTGTGGGTGTGGGTTTTTTTGGACAGTTTTTCTTTAATTGCTTGGCTGGTAATCTTTGAGGAGAACCCTGCGTCACCCTCCTGAGGCAAATGAGCTGTTGCCTGCTCCGAAATAATCTGCCCAACTACCAAGAGATGTAATTAATAAGTTAATGAGAATTGAAGTAACAAACCTTTGTATCATTCCAGGGAAGAGTCCTTTCCTTTCTGGTATTGTTATTGTCTATTTTCATTCCAAAGCTTGTCTTTTCCGTGTGCTTAGGTCCAGAGGATTTGGTTAGGCAATCCGAGATGAGGCTTCTAAACCGAACGCCCGAACCAGAACGCCCTCGGATCTTGCCTCCAGACCAGCGTCCCCCAGAGCCGCCGGAGCCTCCGCCTCTCACTGATGAAGACCTGGATTATCGGACAGAGAACCAGCATTTGCCTCTAAGTAACTCTTCAGGAACGGATCCTCACGCGGGAGTGAAAGCAGCGCTTCTGCAGCTGCTGGCTCAGCATCAAGCTCAGGCCACCACGGAGGAGCCCGTACAGACAAGCGTGGATTATCAGGCTAGAGACTCCTACGTACCAGGCCCAGACTACAAGGATAACTTTGCCTCATCTTCCTTCTCGTCCGCCCACTACGGCAGCAGCGATGGAATAGGAGGCGGATCATCAGGAGCATTAGAAAGGAGGAGCTTTCTCGGAAACTCAGATATTCAGTCTTTGGATAACTACAGTACTGCTTCATCTCACTCTGGTGGTGCCCCTCCCCCGTCAGCCTTTTCAGAATCCTTTCCCAGCTCCGTAACTGGTTACGGAGACATTTACCTCAACGCTGGCCCCATGCTGTTCAGCGGAGACAAAGACCATAGGTTTGAATACAGCCACGGCCCGATCCCGGTGCTGGGGAGCAGCGGGGAGACTTCGGCGGGGCCAGAGAGCACGCGCTCTTTGCCCACAAAGATACACAACTATAGCTACGGAACTAACTTACCGGAAAATCCCCCCGGCATCGGCCACATGCATGGACAGACTTGGACTTCTCCTGCCCAAGGGCCTGGCTATTCCCAAGGATACAGGGGACACATTAGCACATCTGCAGTGAGAGGGCGAGGCAGAGGATTACCCTATTGAGTATCTGTTTTTCCTCAGGCACATCATTTTTATCTGGAAAAACTTTTTTTTTTTTTCCTCCTAGCTGCAGTTTAAAGCAGCCGTTCAACAGACTTGAATAATGTTAATTCAACAGCTTTATTTTTATGTGGAAAAGGGTCTTGCATACCGTAGGAAAAATTAAAGATGCTTAAAACTCATGCTGTCTGAAAACTAGATGAATTGATTGTACATGTTCGCAAACTCTAGTTCTGAATTTTATTTTGTATTTCGGCAGTTTTAAGTGGATGCTAAATTTAGGGACATCAGCTTTTTATGGCACTCTTTCAGATCTTCTGAACTATGCACATTTGTGCTTTTTTTGTAAGTTTGGACCAACTTTTATGTAAAAAAAAAAAGGTAATTTTACAACAATCAAAGCAGGGCACTGATTTATTTGGTATTTTTCTTTTTACAGAACTACCTTTAGTCAAAGGTCACTGTCAGTCTTTGCACTGCTTTCAGTGTTATTGTGGAAGGTGTACTTTGTGCTCATTTCAGATAATAAAACACAACCTTTCTCTTGATGCAAAATTTTATAAATATTCGGTCGATGTTTTGGGTTGGTTTTTTTTTTCCTTTCAAGAAAAAAAAAAACTGTTCTGGTAAAATGTTCTTTCCACCTCCCAGGCTTGTTTATATAAAACTGTTTTACTTGAATGGTAAGTGCCTTAACATGTAAGCTTAAGGTCTGCAAAAATTTGGAAGTACTTCGTAGATGGATACGGAAATAATACCTAGTCCGTGGGTAGTTCCTGTGGCAGTTCAGATGGCAGCGGGCAGCTCAGAGAGCCGCCCTTCGGGTGGGCCGGCTGGTGGGCCGGCTACGTAGAGACCTAATCCGATCCCATGAAATCATCATTTCCAAATTGAACTTGGTGAGAGATGTTGAAAGTGAGGAGAAGAACGAAGAGCGTAGTTTTGTTTGGTTTTTTTTTTTTTCCCCTCAGCTCCCTCTTGGAGTTGCAGTGTTTTGGTTCCTCTGCCAGCTAACCGATCCCTGTCCTTACCGAGTGATGGAACGCTTTGTCAGTGGCAGCCATCGCTTTGTGTGGAAAGCCCGGTCTTTTTCCCCACAAATACTGCGTTGCAGGGCGTAACCAAAGGAAAAATGACCAGTATTTAAAGCAACAGCAAAACCTTTTGACGCTAGTTCTGACTCTCTGCAAACTTGTGCCAATTAATGGATTTGATACCTGCCGTTCCACAGAACGTTGTCGTATCGGACTCGAGTCCCTCTGGACAACTGATAAAGTGACTGTAGCTGAAACGCGTTCCAAGAGCCACTCCTCACGGTAGTTACAACTCCGGCGTGGTGGGTTTCTCTCCTTTGACAACAAGCGGTCTCTCTCCTGCAGAGAGGAGGTATGGTGATATTTTGCATGTACGTAAAAGAATGTTTTAAAGCCCATATTGGAAACAATTTTCCAACTGATTATCCAGTTGACGAATCGGTACCTTATGTAACTGAGCGTTTAATTATTACTTTTGAAAAAGTAAAATTTCTACTTACACTATTACGAACCGTAGTCTCGTCAGTGACTTTTTGGATTTTTCAGGATAGAAGCCAAAGTTAGTTGGTGTTTTGTTTTGTTTTAGTTGAAAATCCCGGGTCGTACGTGGCTAACTGCCACGCCGTAGAGCGTGGAGAAACTGGCTTCGCTACCCGCTGCCCAGCGTGTGAGGATCTGGCAGATGAGGAACGGAGAGGGAGTGGCGGATATCCCTGTGAGTCTGGCGCCGGCACGCAGTACAAAACCCGCCATCTGAGAACCGGAGAGCGGCCCGGTCTGGAACAAATGCTTCGGAGCGGGGTGGCCTGTGGCTAAGGGCCGCGCATCAGGCAGGCTTTCTTGAGCGAGGGCGCCCCCGGAGCCTGTTTCTCCTGCTAGAATTCTGCAGGCAAGATCACGGAGAGGTATTGAGGCATGGACAGTGTCAGCCGAGGCTTTTGGGTTCCTGGTCTTGGAAAGAACCAGTCCCCTGGGGGTACCCACAGACGGCCTGTTTCCTAGAGTCGAACAAAAGGCTTCAGAAGGTCCGAAGGTGGTAGCAGCCTTCACGAAAACGTGC